AGTGCGCGGAAGAAATACATGCCACATACACCTCTCAGCAACACCTCTCACGTTCTGGTAAGACTTTAGCTAGATGAAGTTACCATTGCTACTAAGGACTTACCATTATGTGATTTATCTCTGCCGCAACATCTATAATTTTTAACGATTACCTGGAGCAACCGTTAATCTCTGTGCAATCTCTGTGTCTTTAATCTGCCTTTTTTACATTAAAACTACTGATTTGGGTACATATATATATATATATATATATATATATATATATATATATATATATATATATATATTTTGTTTAATTTTGTATATCACTATCAACAGTGTTTAGAAACACATGCGAGCGAAACGCGAGACGCTGGTAGTTTCAAAATTTTTGCAAGAATTTTTTGGGGAATAATTTCTCTTTCATTCTAGTCAAATTCATCTGTATTCTTTTACTTTTTTTCTCCATTGCTTTGTTCCTGACTATCCCACATTTTGACAAAGGAAATCTACCAAGAATGGTGACATATTCTAAGAGCCTGAACGCAAATTTAACATGGCTGAACTAGCGATCAAGGCAAATTCCAAACATCGCGTGAGTAGATGATTTTCTCGTTTCATCAAGGTAGCATTGCATATGTCCAAATTGTGGTCAGTTTCTTTACGGTGAAAAACCATGGCCTTTTGTATTTTGTTGTTATTTTTTAAATGTCTCCAACGTATTCATTCTGGAAATTCCTGCAACTGATGAAGTAAATTAATCCTTCAAGTTTTTGTTTGTTGTTTTGTTTTTATTGATTACCACTTTGTTTTAGACTGTTGTTAAATTACATTTTGAAACCTCACCTCACTCAAGAGAAAATTATGGATCTTTTTTTTTTCAGCCTACTTCAGCTATAAATAACAGTGTTGACTGAACTCTCTACCGTTGTGTTGGTAACCAGTCTATCTAAGAAATGGAAACCTCTGGAATTCCAAAGCCCGGAGAATGTAACAGGAAAACCATTCCATTAACTTTCTGAAGGTTTGGCAATTCACATATGATAAAGAAAAAGGATTCTGTAGATAATCATGATCGCCTGTCTTGAAGAGACATGATATTTAAATGTCCTAGAAACTTTCCGATTGTCTATAAAAGCAGTGATATAAGGATATTTTTTCTTCCATATAATCGAGTAATTAGCTACATGTGTGTACCTTAATCAAACAACTTTTCTTTATCTTCTTATTTTTTATCTCACCTGAGATGACTTACGTGATTGCTTGCGTCGGTCAACACATTCTTATCCACTCTGTGCCAGGTGAATATTGAGCTACATTTCAGAAAAGAAAACTTGCACGACTCCAGATCAAATTTCAATTGCTGTAATATTTTATTCGTTAATTCTTGTTTAGTTAGCTGTACATTATTAATGCTTTTTGTTCAGCTATCATAGATTTTTTTGGAATGTATTGACTTTTCTCTGCTTAAGTACATTTGATCGTCTGAAGGAAAATCAACAAGTTGTATTTATGTATTCATTTTATTTTACCTAAGTTCAATGACATACTGTTATTTCTATTTGCACACACAAACACACAGACACAGACACACACACACACACACACACACACACACACACACACATATATATATATATATATATATATATATATATATATATATATATATATATATATATATATATGGGAGGTCTATGTGTGAAATATTTAACAACAAAATAGATTATTGAAACTCAAAAGATTTATATGTATGCATAATGAGCTATTACGAGAAATCTGCCCTTCTTTATGGCAGCGAATGTTTGACGCTTTCCTGAAAGATGAAGATGAGACTCGAGGCAACGGAAATGTGGTTCTACAGAAGGATGCTAAGGATATCATGGACCGAGCGTGTGATCCAGGATGAGGTCTTAGAGAGGATGAAAACAAGTAAGAGGCTTATACTTAACATCAGAAAGAGGGAGCGGAAGTTTCTGGGATACCTAATGAGGAAAGATGGCCTGGAGAATCTGATACTCACAGGTCAAATAGAGGGAAATAGAGACAAGGGAAAGCAGCGCGTGTCATATTTGGTCTGGGGGAGGAAGCAGAAGGAAGCAGCTTGCAAGTGATAGAGGGATGTGGAGAGCCATTATCATCTACGTCCTGAAAGGCCATGGCACATACATAGAAAGAATACATGTCTAGGCTTTCCTTTGCCGATTATGCCTGTCTGCTAGGGTGACTGCGTAACCTTGTTGCACTCGTCAACTCAGGACATATATGGATTTGTTCAGTTCCGGCCTGTGATTTATACTGCAATTTAGTTATCGTTTCTGGGAGAAAGGCATAATCTGGCTTCATTACCATCTCAAACAAGACCAATACGATCAAAGCATCAGCCCTGATGACTTCAAACATTGTGCAAGATCATGCAAGGACAGCTGCCCAATATCTTTATCTACACAATTTCAACTAAAAAGCTTGGGTCAACCAGTGGTATGGTTTTTCAGACTGTCACCTACGGTACCACAGTCTGAGATCTTTTCCATATGCCGGTATAATCAAGGAGTTACGATATGGTGCGTCATGATCAGAACTCTAATATTCTAATTACACGCACACACACAAGTAGAGACCCTCCATATATATATATATATATATATATATATATATATATATATATATATATATCACAGAAATTAATCTGTATATATATATATATATATATATATATATATATATATATATATATATATATATATATATATATGCTCACAGAATACAAGGCCCGGGATCAACTCAAGTTAGAGAGTTACTGTGTATAGTTATATAAGTGTAAAAAGGGAAGTTCATGCAGGTATGCAAAAAAGGCAACAGCCAACTCTAGACGTGAAATGATCCAAATTTCGTTAATGAATAACATTTCAGTCGGTGATGTTAGAAGTATAGAGAGAAGTAGATTTTATAAGGAATCCGAAACACAATCCTGAACGGGAAACACGGGATAAACCTCTACCCATCTTTAAATGAACCTGAGTAGTGTGAACCGGAAAATAGGCGAACCTATTTTGACATATATATATATATATATATATATATATATATATATATATATATATATATATATATATATATATGTATATATATATATATATATATATATATATATATATATATATATATATATATATATATATATATATATATATATATATATATATATATATATATATATATGGACACGCATTCGTCGTATTCAACGAATGAGGGTGAAGCATGTCAGTTCCCAGGATACGACACCCCAGACACCAGCACATATGAATTGATTACAGTGGTAATTTTTTGTGCAGAAGCAACCACACATTTGGAAGTGTGGTTGGTTATATATATATATATATATATATATATATATATATATATATATATATATATATATATATATATATATGTATGTATGAAGGAACATATTCAAAATTACGTGAATAATTTTAATCGTGCAACAGCTAACGCTTATAAATATGTGTTTTCATTTGACCCGTAGTGTAAATTCGGGTCTATTTATAATAAAGTATTGTTATTTTAGGAATTCATTCGTTGACATTAAATGCTGATTTTATAAATAAGTCTAAAAATTCCTTTTCAGCTGTTACAGCTGCACAATCTTCCCACCTCATTCTATTGCAGTTTCTGCGGGACTATTCTATGCTTTATACGCAAAAAGAAAGAAAATGGTGCACATTTTTTCTGGGTGATTTTTTCCCTTCGTTATTCTTTATTGACTGAAAATAACCCATAAAAGTTTTTGGCGTAGTTCATTAAAAGTTTAAACGAGACAAGAAATAAACGCTTAAAATTGAAAACTTTAATTTATTTAACGCCAAAACATGAGGAAAAAAAACAACAAATCAGAATTTAAATTGACGGACGGCTATCAAATAAAATCAGTTGGCACTACGCTTTTTAATAATATTCTTTTTATATTTTGCTGTCTACAGTTTTATTACCTAATAATCGAAGGAGTATTATCGACCCGAAAATATCCCATCGAAAATGTCGATAAAAAATAAATAAACTTCGATATTTTCTAATTGATTTTCGGCGAACGAAACCATCGTTCAAGGTATAATAAATTTTATCATTAAAATCATTTCAAATGTTTCTCCATATATTTGGCTACAGCTGCCCCATCTCTGGCTGTCCAGTTTTCTGGTGAGTTTATTAAATTTCATTATGGAGAAATTCATAGAACGGCATGAATTGAAACTGTTTAATATATTAAATTGTTAGCAGTGTGTAATAAGATTAAAACATTATGTTTATTATCTGGTGTTCTATTAACATTCTATTAATTTCTAACACCATTTAACAACATAGAAATAACAAAAAATATCTAACCACATATTGTACCAAATAATTTAACACTTTCATATACAATTTACGTTCAGTATGTGAGTGATAATGTATCTCTCAGATTTACTTACTTTTGTGGCGTGAAGTAACACTAGACCACCCATAAAGCAGTTGGGTTACTTCTAAAAGCAGTTAATGTTAAAAATGATGAGGAAACAATATTATTAATTTTATTACTAATTACATATCTTAATTTGTATATAGAAATGGTAAAATAAGTCGTATTTCTCTACTGGGTTTCATAGTTATCACATTGAGTGATATTTGGAGTAAAAACTTAAAACATATATAGTCTTTCTTCAAAATAATAAATATTATTTGATTTATTTAAATTATGCTTATATTTCTACATACTCGTAATTTAAAAAGAAGATTTAGATAACATATTTGAGTACTTTTCAGTCGGAATACTAAACAACTTCGTGGCGACTTGTATCAGTTGAGAACATGTGTACCGTAGTTAAACCAAATTGAGGTTATGCATTCCTCGTATAACCCTTGAATTCCCATATTGAAAGTGTTGAATTCAATTATTAACAGAATATACATTCAAAACATAACTTATCTCGCGAAAACAACATTTTATTATATTGCACTCAATATTATTGCACTATACAGGCACATCCCGTTGAAACACAGGTTCCCATACGGTCAACAAAGTTAAGCAACGTCGGGCCTGATAAGTACTTAGATGGGTGACCGCTTTGAAATATTAGGTATTGTAAGCTTGAATTTGGAATTGGTGTAAAAGATAAAGACACGGAACCATGTTTCAATTCCAGTCGGGTACGGTATATTCGCTTACGTACAATTAACCATGGAATAGGCATGAATCCAAATCTTTCCTCCTCTATGGGTTATTTAGTACACATTGTATCACTAACATATTATATACCAAAGAATTCTTAAAATCTAAAAATATGTCTGGCTTTGTATTAGCTGCAAAGGGCTGGTAGGCTGTAAAAAACGAATCGATTAATAAAAAACAATAGTTTGATAAGCAGTAAAATAATATCAATTTATAAATATAAAGTAATCATATATTTTTCATATTTTCATCCATTTTAATGTTAGAAGTAACTATTTCCTCCATGTTAAAATCTTTATTTACATCATGCAAATCTTCAAAATAAGGAAGAAAGGAACGATGCTTTCTTATTGTTCTAATGCCGTTACTTAAAACTATAGAACTCGAATATAAAAAGCAGTATAATAGCGCTTAAATTTAGCGACGAGAAGGCCGTTTTGTATACACATTACAGAGCCTTCAATGACTAATCAATAATGTGAAATATGTAATGGTTTTAGACAACCAGTTTATATTTCTTCACACATCAACAGAAGGATAAAAATCACTCTTCAAAGCATAAAAGGAAAATATTGAACAATTCAATAGCAGCTATTAAACGGCAGTTCTTCTCTGATTTTCCTCGTAACATTTGTTCAGCCCTTGACCTCACGGAGATGAAAGTTACGAAACTGCGCCAACGTTGTAAACATGACTTTATTAAACCGATTAAACGTTTGAATGAATGTAAGGAAACGAGAACGAAACTTTAAGTTAAAATTGAAAAAAAAAATACTATTCAATTTATGTCCTTCTCTACTTGATTCTGTACCTGAGAAAATAAATCGACCGAGTAACTACATTTATTTTCGAAAGAAAGACTAAATTCAATCAAACATTTGTGACACACACACACACACACACACACATATATATATATATATATATATATATATATATATATATATATATATATATACAGAGAGAGAGAGAGAGAGAGAGAGCAGTTGTCATCCAACGCTATAGAACTCAGCCTATCCTTCTATCTCCCATAGTTACAGGAGGGAGAGGGTGAGGATTTATACCTTTCCCATGGTTATTAGAACGTAATTGAATGTAATGGTTCGAACTTGGCTCTCCAATTCCTCAAACCGAGCCGCTATCCACCATTCCACTGTGTCTAGGTCAAAGACAACTCTGAATTCAAAACCTGTGGAGGGGACATTGGGGCAGTTGGTGTGCCAGTTCTCTCTATTTGGCCCTTCAAAATGTGTGGTTGCTTCTGCACAAAGCCTTCACCACTAAAATCAAATCATATGTGCTAGAGTCTGGTTGTCCCTCGTACGTCGAATATAACAATATATATATATATATATATATATATATATATATATATATATATATATATATATATATATATATATTAATGGAAAACAGACCACTTTAAAGGTATCATTACTATAATTTATTTCACCAAAATCCTTTTTAAAGGACTCCGGATCATCAGGTAACAATTCCTACAACGAAATGAAAGGAAAAATGGGATTAGAAATTGATGGGTAGTGTAATTTTTTGTAATTTAACAGGAGGGTGAGAGTTGTAGTTACAGAGACAAAATAGACTATAGGGAGGGGTTAATTTCATATTTAAATATATATATATATATATATATATATATATATATATATATATATATATATATATATATATATATATCATGCAAGATATCTATATTTTATAGTAATTGAATGGAAAGTATGTTCTTTTATTGTAAATAGATTGCAACACATTTTTGAATGTCACTGTCACACAGCAAACTTTACCTAGATTAAGCAATCAAGGGACTGATTAACCACTAAAAAATTAAAACCTGTGGCCTGATTACACACACACACACGAACGCACAGGGACACACTTAAGAACGAAACCCGACATATAAATAATGAAATTCAAAAACATATTGCAATACTAAAAGACACTTTAACTGAAACTGAATATAATGAAGCCCTATACCACATCAACATAAGTATTAATAATGATGAACTTGACCAGCGACAAATAATTACAAAAAAGCTGTGCAACTTATACCAACGAAATATTCTACTTCCCAACAAACATGATAAATACATAAACCTATCAACTCACATATTAACGAATAATCAAAAGGAATTTTCAAATCTAGGACCAAACTGCCATCTCCAACTTAAATTTGACCTTCTCACAAAGAAGACTGAAAATGAAATCTTGCATCAATCATTATGTCAATTGGAAAAGGACAAATGAATAATACTCCATCCAAACCTCAAAGATCTTCTCATGGTAGAATTTCTAAAAGATTATATTCCAGGTAACAGAATCAGGAATATTCCAACAAAACTCAAAATGGCTGCTGCAGAATGACAAAAACAACCTTAATATAGTCATCAGGAAAGCTGACAAATCCAATATTTACGTAATATTCGATAAATTGGATTATCACAAAAAACTTCAGCATCTCATTGATGATCGTTCTAAGTTTACTAAATTGAATAATAACTCCACCGAATCTCTAAAGAAATATGTTAATAAACTTATAACATCCAACAATGCTGTTGCAGGATTCTTAAAATAAACAAAATTATTGGAGATTACCAACCTGGTTACTTATACGGTAATGTTAAAATACACAAACCGGGATACCCTTTACAATCTATTATTTCTCAGATTCCAACATGCATATACCAACTATCAAAATTTCTCAATGATACTATTACCCCATATCTCCCTAAAAACTATCGCATTAAATTTACCCATGAATTCCTCCAAATACTTAAAAGCACAAAATTAATAAACAAACAACGGCATTCTTGCGTCACTTGACGCAGAGAATTTATTTGCTAATGTTTCCGTCTCCGAAACTATTGATATTATCCTTAATTCGATGTATAAAATAAATTAATTCTACCTCCATCAATCCAAACCAATATGTTAAAAAAACTATTACTCGCGTGTTCCACTAGAGTTCCTTTTTATAGCCAGAATGGTATTATTTACAGACAAACTGATTGAGTTACTATCGGAAAGCCTCTCGGACGGTGGTTCTCCAATTATTATATGTCGTATGTTGAAAAGAAGGTTTTTACTAAAGTTATTAAACCTGAAATATATGTTCATTATGCAGACGATATATTTATTTTAGCTGGAAACAAGAAAGAAATAGAAAATCTGAAAGCTAGATTTCAACAAAATTCTGTCCAAAATTCTAATTATGAACTTCGTGAAAAAAATAAATTTCCTTTGTTAGATGTTCTCGTCGATTTTAGTAACAATAATTTTAAAACTTCTGTTTATTAAAATAAAAATCTAGTAAAGACCATTGCCATCTTAATTTCTCTAGATATAAAATAGGTGTTATTAAACATTTCCTAACGAGAGTGCACGAGAACTCATCCTCACGCACGCTTTTCTTTAAAGAATTAAACAATATAAAACAAACGCTGATTAATAACGGATTTTCTAATCAATTGTTGGATTTCCACATTAGGCGTTTTCTATCTAAGGTAGCTAATAGCAACGTCAAGAACGGACGCATAAACAAAAACATTAATATTCTTTATAAAAATCAGATGAACGAAAATTATAAACAGGATGAATGCAGAATTAAGAACATTATAAAAATGCATAACACCAAAAAAAAAAAAAAAAAAATAGATTAATTATTTATTACACAAAATGTAAAACCTATAACATAGTTAAAAATAATAATTCAACTCCTAGAACAAAATTAAATAGGGCAAATATTATTTACGAATTTAAATGCCCATTAAGGAACTGAATTTCTGATCAATCAAAATTCGTAAATAATTATATAGGCCACACTACAACATGTTTGACACGCAGACTCACTCTACAGCTTTCTGACCATAGCTCAATTAGATCTCAATTAAATATTTATGGAAACCTACCGGACACTATTCGTAACATACTTGTTGACAACAATAATGTAATAACATCATCTACATGCAAAAAAAGGCTAAAAAAATGGAAAAATTATTAATAAAAACAAAAAAAAATCCAACACTTAATTATATTAACTTTGAACATGGACATAATATCTTGACCGTGTTTTGAAAAAATGAAAACATTTTATAAAACATACATACGACAAACTATTTATTTTAACAGTTAAAATATAATCCTTGAAAATGGCTAGATGTATAGCCGAAAGACCTCCACAGTTTGTATATAATTTATCATCCGAAAAGAAAAAAAAAATATTTGATTGGATGAGAAAAAAAACTAAATAAAAGCACCTTGTCTGTCGTTTTCAATTAAATGCGCATGAAAGAAGGATTGCTGCCTAAATACACACACACACACACACACCCACACACAAACACGCACACACACACACACACATATATATATATATATATATATTTTTTTTTTTTGAATGAGATAAGGACATACAATTTATATATCAAGGACAATATTGAGGACAAATATACTAAAAAGTGGAAAGAGTTTTCTTGCGACACGTTTCGCACTTTTGCCTCCATTAGAAAACATATATTATGTTGGTCCAACTACACATGCGCACGAACGAGGGGTACTGCAAATTCAAAACTTTTCTTTTCTTTTTAATTTAGACTATTTCATTTAGATTCTTTTTTCTATTTTGTCCGTTAGATTAATAAAAACATAATTTCAAATTCCACCATCCCTCGTTCCAGCGCATGAGTAGTCCAATGAAATCCTGCTTCAAAAGAAAAACTTTTTTCCCCTTTGTCATATATATATATATATATATATATATATATATATAGAGAGAGAGAGAGAGAGAGAGATAGATAGATAGATAGATAGATAGATAGATATGCTATCGTCTGATTACGGTGAAAGGAAATTGAAACAAATAATAACCAAAAAGAAAAACGACTAAATTTCATCGTTACTAATT